TTTCTCTGACATTGACGTATTTGTATGCAGATAATGGAGACATTTAGCCCAGCTCATACAGACTTTGAATATTTTCTCTAAGTCACCAAGAATCACTGACTTGCATTGTCATAGATTTTTCTTATGAAGTCTATTTATTTTTTAAAAGAAGTTTACATACTAATTTCATTAGGAACATGTCTAAGAAACTATCTCACATTCATAAGAAACATCTGCGCTTTGATTTAAATTACTAGGAAACTAAGAATCACTGTTTTGTAAATACATTTCTCTTTGACTCAAAAGGTCCTCCTTTATCATATTTGAAATGAACAATTAACTGTACATAACTAATATATTGTATTGATGAACCAGAGTTATATTTTAACTTACTGCATTGCATTTCAAGTGAATGTGTTTATTGCAACTTTTAATAAAATCTTAAAGGCTGAAATGAGTGTTTCATTACCAAATTTGTACTTTCTAACTTCACTATACTGAAACAAAAAACATTCATAACTAATTGCGAAGAAAATGTTTTACATGTTATACGTTTTGATTAATTTTCATACCACAGTATTATCTTTGAAAATTTGTTTCCTAGTCCACTGCTAATATATTACTAATTTTCGCTCCTTCAATACATTTCGTACGTGACCAAAAAACTCAGTTTAGAAATGCTTTTTACTTAACACTTTGTATTGCATTGCTGAACTGGGGCCATGCTTTCATTTTTATTACATATCATGCGAATATTAAAAAAAAAAAAAAAAGGCATATTTTTTTCCTTCTGTTAGCCCAATTTTAACCAGCATTTTACTATTACAGAGACTTCTTTAGTAAAATCTCAAGGGTTAAATTGAACGTTTCATTACTAATGTTGAAGATTCTGGAGATATCCTACTTAAAAGTTCATAATCGATTAGCAAAATAATTTATATATGTACTTTGTTGTGCTCTTGGTTAATTTTTAAATCGTTGTTCAACTATAGTACTTGATTTCTAGTGAAGTACCCAAATGATTACTTACTTTCCGCTTTTTCCAAAGAATTTCGTATACACATATGTTCAGTATAGAAAATTTTCCTAACTTAAAAGTATTATTACCGAAATAGAAAACATGCAAAATTTTGCTAAAAACTTATACATTTTTTTTACAAACATGTACACGAATACCCACATTTAATTACTTAATGTGTATTTTCCTATATCAGAACGAAAATTTCGAACGAAAATTTTTAATAATGTCATGTTCCACAAAATTTATGTATTTGTGATATCATTGTCTTTTCGCAAACATTTTGAGAGTGTGCTCTAGGTAGTCGTTTAGACATTTCGAAACTGTTTTCTCTTTGCTATTGGAAACTATTTTATCTTTGCTGCCTTATATCTTTGAACACATCCCAATGAATTTTCGATACTTTTTTGGTTTATCTTCAGCTTATGAAATATTTAAATACTTAAAATACATTTGTAGATCGTTTATGTTGACACTTGTGATAGATTTCCTGGATGTTTGTTTTGGAGAATGTATTTATTTTATTCATGTGAATGAAGCTGATGTTTTCTTAAAATTTTATTACTCAGAGTATTTGTCAATTATGACAGGATGCCGGATTTGTGCTCTTTATTCAACATTCATATGAACTTCAGTATTCCAAATCTCTCACGTAAATGTAATTTTTTCTATCAGTAACAGGAAGACGAATGGAATAAATGCAGGTTATGCAGACATAAGGTAAAAATCTGGAAGTCAAAGAAATTCTTCAGAAATAGGCAATTCAGTAGAATGTGCTAATATTCATCCAATTCGAAGCTTATTTTTGGAATTACATAGCATATAAAATGTAAATTTAATAAAAAGAGATATAATGAAGATCAAGTACAACACTGCAAAATCTGGACGGTAATTATACAAAATTAGTTATAAGGTAGTTTTTTATAAAAAGTGGCTCCAACGGAGGAAACACGTCAGCAGTCTCCTAAAACTCTAAGTGAGCAGCACCTGATCGTTGCTCTTACAAAAGTTAAGTAGAATTGCAAATTCTACGTAAGAGCGAAGAAGATCAAAGGCCCACTTAGAGTTTCAGGACACTGTTGGCGTGTTTCCTCTGCCAACAGTGCCAAAATAAAGCTGAAGCATTTCATATTGAAATATTTTTATACATATTCTTTTCAGATGTAAATAGAACTTATAAAGTTTGCTTTGGCGGCAGCCCGCTTATCAGTATACTGCACAGCATATTTTATTACTTCTTTACTTAAATTTGGTAATGTCTTACAGAATATAAATTATCGTGATTATAAATGTGACAGGAATAGCTTGCTTTGTATAAAGCTGTCTATAACCTGCAGTATCTCTTATCCAGAGTAAATTTTTGTAATGCATCACCCATGGAAACGCGGACGCTACTCTTGTCTTGTTACTGCAATTTTATTGCTTTAAAAACGCATTTTGGAGATATTAATGCAAACATATATTGAAGCTGTTAAGTATCTAATGCTTACCAAAATTATTGATTGAATACTTAGTAATAATTAATAACAATCATTACATTTATTCCATTTTTTGATAACAATTCTTATTACATTTCACTTCCGTTGATCTAAAAATGCAAGAACTCATGTTAAAAAAATATCAAAATTTTCTTTGAGATTTTTATACAAAAGCAATGTTATTTAGAGGGTCGTATTGAAAGTAATGCAAAAGTCGGTTCGTATGACCTACTATAGATCAACTTTTAAGCTGCTATAAAAACTCTATATATTATTAGAGTGACTTTTTCTTAATGGTAATTGTGTTTTGCAAGTAAATAATGGATATGGATTATAAATAACATGCCTTTATTACATTCCTGACAAAAGGAAAGGTACAGTCCGTTGGACATCCGCCGGAAGCTACAGGCTATTTATCTGCTACAGACTACAAAGGCACTAACTAACAACTGATGACTAAAATGATTCGAGAAACAAGTACGCGAGCTTTCAGCACAAATGGATTATAGTCACAATGCAGTGTAAAAGATGGCATAAGACTAAGGTTATCAAGCGTGTGCAAAATGGGTATTTCGGCAGGCGATATCTGATACGAAGGAGACAACGGCAGTCATTTGCTCTGAGCTACAGCAAGATTTTGAAGCCAGTAAAGATGCGTCCCTCCCGAGTTTTGAAAAATGACTAAACACGAGTACACCTTTATGATCCATAGACAAAGAATAAATCCAAACAACAACCTTTCCTCTCATTTGCAAGGCCTATTTGGTAATCAAGTTGTTCCGAGTGTCAGCAGTCAATATATAAGTTCATAGTGACTGTTACTTAGAATGACAATGGCATTATTCAACTTGAGTTTGTGGAATATTCCTACACATTTACAAGCAAGTAATACTTTGAGACTCTCCAAAAGCTTCGAGAAACTGCTAAGAACAATTAAGATAAGAATCTGAAGACGATCTATATTCACCATGATAATGTACTCTTACACATTTTTGGTAAAATCTCTGCTATCAGAATATTGAAAGTGATCTCTCATATATCGTATCCTTTTGATCCTCACCATTGGCTTCTACTTCTTCTGATCACTCAAAAGAAATGTGAAAGGAAAAATATTTGCTGATATTAACGAAATGAAAGTGACTATAAAGAGATAAGTAAGCAATGCACACCTGAATTTTCCCCAAGAGGAGTTGAGTTCAACGATAGAGAAAATTGTCTATGTTGAGTAATACACTTCAACAATACGTTGCATTCGGACGATCTGTGTCAGTTAATAAAAGAGTTAGACCGACTTTTGTATTTATTTCAGTACGAACCCCATAATATTCTTATTCTTGCTACTCAAAATTTATAGTTTGATGGAAGGATGACTTGGTTGAAAGCTTGTGTGTTTACAAAGTATAATTGCTTACATACATATATACAAATAATTACATAAAGTAAGCATATTCGATATCCTTCAATCATAATGTAAATGCACTGAACTGAATTTTTAACAGACTGAAAATTAAATTTCAGCTCTCCAGTACTTTAATATAGAAAATTTTGTCGATGATAAAAAAAGATTTTTTTTTGACATCATGTTGTGAGGAAATTAAATCTTTCCTTCCATCTGTCCTTGTGACGTAGCAGATTTAGCTAGGAATTAGAAGAGCTCATGATCAGTTCATGAGGACAGTATCGGAGATTTCTAGATTCCTATTCGCAAGAAAACCTAGTACTACATGCAGTAAATAAAAACTTACTAACTACATAAGTTGTTTCATCCGAGTTAAGTCATCGAATGAGAAATATTTGACACATCGCTAGAGATACCTATTGATGAGTCCTTCAAGGAGAAAATAAAAGTAGAAAGAAGTGAGCCTGAGATTTTAATTGTGTAATAACGAATATTTTTTAAAATTACTGAGCCTAATTTTTATGGGAATTCTGAACAGCTATATTCCAAACCTTTGCATAATTCTTGCTTTCAGACAAACGTTTTACCATTATTAAATAAGTTTAATATTACTACTATTATTATTTTGCTGTCAGCAACGACAAATTTATGTTATTGCTTTATTCATCTTTTGGATTAAACCTAATCCTTATAAAAATGAGAGACTGATGGAATGGGGAAGAATATGTCTACAAGCAATAAAATATGCTAGTTTTTAATGTCATATGTATTTCGAATATCCTCACTTGCTTGGGTATATTTTTTCATCCATCATAAAACTACATTCCTGATTTTGACTGCAACTGCTTACTGTACATTTTGAATTTTAAGCAAAGGAAAGTATTTCTGGAATTTACCTTTGAAAATCATCTTAACCATATTCAAGTAGTTTTTTGTAATGTTAATATTCTTTTAAGCATCTGAATGCACTTTTGTTTAAATTTAGAGAGATTCCTCTTTTCGTGCATTTGATGAACTTAACAAATAAAGGATTTTGCAGTTTAAAAAATGAATGTACTGTTATACATATTTACAGTGACATATTACTTAAAATTAGAAATGAAAGTACACAATAAAGCCTCAAAACTAAAAATGACAATATTTATAGAGCACATACTATTATTAAAAATAGCTACATTATCATGCAATGATATAACATCAAATGTAAGTGATATGAATCGAAGTTACAGCTTTCAACTGTTTTCTCCCGTTTTGTAAAGAATATTCCACCTTGTTATGGTTACTTACTTCAAGGTTTTAAGGAAAAAATACGTAAAATATAAAATAATTTTTCAGAACTATCAAATAGAGAAATATGCTAATGAACTAGATTCATCTTGCTTCTTGTTATTGATTGCTTGAAATTAAAAGAGGAATTCTGTTCAAAGATATCGCTGAATTCACTAAGTTACTGATAGCTGTAATAACTTTTGAATGATTTTACTTCTGTTTGTAATAAACGCTTTTTGGTCCTCTGCTTATGTGATAAAGATGGGACCAAAGCATTGAATGATGGTAAAATAACCCCCTTTTCACTTTCTTCTTTTTCATTTTTCAGCTACACTTGATAGTTCTTGAAGCAACGATTTTCTCTTCAGCAAGTTCGTCGATTCTATCCAGAGTAACGAAATATGCTCTTCTTTTGTCATCAATGAAAGTTCCACCATTGGTGCTAGCATACTCAGCTGGTACTCCTAAGATTCCTAAAGTTGGTGTTCGTTCCCCTTCATGTGTGTAATAAACTGCTCCTTGCTGGCGATAGAGGATTACAAAGATTATAATTCCCATCAGTAGAAGAATAACAACACTTACTGTGGCTATGATAGCTACATTCGATGAAGCTACAAGGACTCTAGACTGGGGCATGAGACTTGCACAAGGCTCCAGATCGACGCGTCTTAGAGAATGTAACGCGCGACCTTCCAAAGCCAGTGGGGTAGCGCATCGCATGCAGGTACTACTTTCATAATTCATGTCGCAAGTACTGCTGTAGAGTGGGGACTGACGGACCCATTTCAGTAAAGGCAGGACGGAGCATCTATGGCAGGACCATGGATTTGAATGCAAGTGTAAAACATTGAGAGTACTCATATTTTGGACTTGTTCCAAGAAACAAGGATCGAGGTATTCGAATTCATTATGTGAGAGATCTATTTCTTCTATTTGCTTCAAAGGTTGGAAAGTACGACTCGAAAAGTTAACGAAGCTATTGTATGATAAATCTAAGGTTTTTAATTCTTCATTGTTGAAGAAAGCCTCATCAGATAATTCAGTGAGTTTCATTCCTGATAAAGATAATTTTTTTAACTTATATACCGGACTTAGGGCAAGTTCCAAATCTTCCGAGTCAATAATATTGAAGCTCAAGTCTAGGCTTTCTAATGAATGGGCGATTGGAGACAGAATATCAAAAGGTAAACTGGATATCTGATTGTAAGAAAGATCCAGTTGCTGTATGGACAAATTGCAAAAAGCACATTTTGAAAATTTGAAAATACTGTTCCTTGACAGCCCTAAATGTCTTAAGTTGTGACCATCGAAAGTCTTTTCTACGATAATAGTCAAGTTATTACCATCTAAATGCAAGTATTTGAGCCTTTTCAGATGTCTAAATTCTTCGGGAGAAAAATATGTGAATGTATTATCTCTTAAATCTAATTCTTCCAAATTCGGCAATTGTTGGTAAATAAGAGAGTGAAGTCTGGTTAGTTGACATTTGGCTAAGTGGAATCTTCTAAGCGGCCGAACATCCTTAAGATTTTCTGGATCGATATCTTTCAAAGGATTTCCACTTAAATCTAGCTTTTCAAGTTTCACTAACATGTAGAAAAACCTCGGCACAAGTGTTCGAAGTCGATTTCTAGCCAAAGACAGAGTAGTGAGACTGGGTAGAAATCTGAATGGTGCAGATGGCGAAGCGGCAATCCCATTATAACTCAGATCCAAAATTTTGAGATTGCGAAGGCCAAAGAAATCTTTGTCGCGTATAAATGTAATATTATTATGACTAAGATCTAGAATTTTTAATTTCTTTCCTGGATAAAATGAGCTATCTCCTATTGCTGGCAACTTTGAATATGTAATACGAACTTCTTCGAGTTCATAAAAATCAAGAAATATCCTTCCTATCGTGAGCTCATTATAATGATTGGGAGGAGCAGTTATAATTAACACTTGAATATCGTAATCCATTTGCTGCATTGGAATTTCTGTAAGTCCACCACGATTGCATAATACTCTCTTCCTATCTTCATTATCGGTATCACATATGCATACTTGAGGACATTTACTCCATATTGTGGTAAAGCAGGTGGAAATTAGGACAAGAAAGGTCACAGTTGCAGACATTTTACAAGCTCTTTTCCCAGTTGTTAATAACCTAGAAGAAAGAGAAATATTTTCATTTCACTAAAATTTCATTAAATTTTTAAAATCAGTCTGTTTTTGCTAATTTAACTAATGTTAATGTTTATTGATAAAGGCAAAACCAGACCGATTAAAAGAAAAAAAACTATGTTTGCATAACAACATTACATTCAAAGTACTAAACAATGACATTAAATTCTGAAAAGTAATGTAAAGCAGAAAACTGAAAATCGTTAAATTTAAGTGCCAGATGAAGAAATTTTTATTGAAATAAGAAAACAACATTTCTACGCACGCATTTAAGGAACTGATTATCTGCTTTGTGATTTAAAAGGTAATGGTTGGATAAGAGGAAAGACAGAAAATAAACATACACAAATTCTTTCTCTCTCTAAAATGATGGAGAATACACACCGCATTAGTTACCGCTACGTAACTTAGTTATTTTGAAACACCCTGGAATTTTTTTTTCCTACAGTGTAACAGTTTAAGTAATACAGTATTCATTAAAATCCATTTACTGTCCGATAAAATGCTGAAGCGATTTTCTGATCTTTTACCAAACAGAATTTACTGTACCAAGATGCGAATTTTAGGAACTAGTGAGAAATAATGTTTGGTTAATCGATCTCAGATTTTTAGCTGTTATGACGGCCCTTTTTTGAAGTTTCAATCTAAATATTCAGGGGAAAATTTGCCATATCGCTAACATGATAACAGCAGTAAATGCACTCAATTAGGACTATTGAAAACTCAATTGATGGAAAATTCACAATCACAACTTTCTAATATAAAGTACATTACTGCCAGTTAGAAAATTGAAACTTTTACAGATGCATCATGCAGGAAAATTACAGATATATTATCAGAGGAGGGGTTCTTCCAGGTTTATAGATTTCGTAGCATTAGACCCTGCTGTAAATGGTTTCAAAAGCCCGTTCAGTGCTACAGAAAGTAATATATGTTCCATAATTTCTGAATATTTTCAATTTAATATTACCGAAAGGCCTAGAATTAGAATTTAAACGCTCGAGAAATGATCTTAATATCTTTTTGAAATTAGTAAGAATAATACCCTAATTTAAGGAAATGCATCCTAAAATTATATTTGTATTTTTTTAACTACTTTATAATTGAGAATTTTCAAATATGATATATTTGAAATCTGCATATCGAGGCAAACTCACAGAGATACATTTGGAAAACCGCTTACTAACAGGTGCTTCCAGTTATGTTCTCGATTACAGTAAATTATCACAGAATTACAGAATCGAGTTTTGCATTAAATTCATGAAAAATTTAACAATTACTTGCAAATTTGTTTAGTTTGATTGTGCGTTATTTTTTTGTATGTATACTTTTGATTTTGACTTATAACATGGCTATATAATCTGTGTAGACTTTATTTTGTATAAATATGCATATTTCGAAAGGTATTGATTTTGTTTATTTATTATTATAACATCGTGACTAGAAAATTAAATTCACAACTTGATTTTTTCTTCAAATATCAAACTATGCACCCTAGAAGCCTTTAAAAGTTTATTGAGCCTTTAGTAACAAAAGATGTTGCTGATTCATGGTGTTAAAGTACAAAACGTTCAATTGGCTAAGGATTAGGTCGGGATGCCCCGGTTACGTCAAAAATTAAATAATAAAAATTTTGTGTTCATTTTCATCTGTCCGAATTGTAAACTCGATAAGAATATGAAAAAATGGTTCGACGTTTCAGGTTAGATTATAAAATTTAGTCTTCTTTGGTAACATCAAATATAGTAAACTTCTAAGACCTTAAGTGAATTATTACTGTGCCTTGTAAAGCGATTAGTTCAGAGAAGTCAAGCGTTATAAAAAATAAATTCAATCTAGAGATTAGCTTTTTATATATTTTGAAATAATTATACTTTCGTAAATTAAGCTGACGTTGGAGTCAATGTAGGCTTACTTTCAGATTTAATTAAATTTTGACTGTTATTTTGAGTAGTTACATGAAATTGCCTATTGCCCTAAAAGTTGAGAATCATTGCAGATTATCTATTGCATAAGCTGTAAAACTTAGTTATTTAATAAAATGACTTTTAAAAATTATGTACATTCAAGATTTAAATTTCGAGTGTATATTTTGATAATTTTAATTTAGTATTTGTATGTGTAGGAATGACTCGTTGAGAAACGGTGAAAGGCTTGATACGTAGTTAAAAAAGCAGCCCAAAACCACATATACTATTTTTAAAATTTTTTATTTTTTATATAAGTGAGAGAAAACTTTGGATCATTCATTATATTATCAAGCTAACTCTCTTCGTTTAGAAAGAGAAGTTGTGAGGATAGTATAATTATTTGACACCAGATGAACATTACAAATATATGTTAATGCATAAATACTTAACTAAGTATATTAAACTACTCTGTACATTTTCTAAGAATATTAGAATATTAAAATAATGTCATAAAAGCCTTGACTAAGTTAGAGAATGTGTAAGGTATTTTCTCCCTCCTTTCCGCACGCTTTCGGGGTGTAACTGGAAGCATGCTTGACGAGTATTCGGAAAATCCGAAGCTTGAATCCCAGTGAAGGTTGCTAATGTTTTTGATTTCCTGGCTTTGAAAAATTATAAAAACACCTACAGTGGCGGCCGAACTGAAAAGGAGGTGGGCGATAATTCATTATCACCAGGATTTGGTGACTGTGTCCTTTCATTTTCATTTTTCTTACATCAAAAAACTCTAAATGATTCTACAAATGTTAACTAAAATTAATTAAAAGCAGAAGTTCGAAGTATTATGACGAGGTTTGAATAGATATAATATGCATAAACATTACTGAAGTGTCATTAATGTTTACTGTACAGACATGTATTTATTAAGCATGCTAATCCTAGATATTACGTGCCTGTGAAAAATAAGTATAAAGGAATATTTTATTTTTAAAATTTAGATATAACAGAACTTACAATTTTTTGTTAGCATTAATATGATTTCTTTCTCCACGCATACCCGCGTTTAGCTAAAAATTTGTACCAGAGTTCATATTTTTATATTAATATATTTGCGAATATGCGAATCAATATAAATGCAGCATTAAAATTCTACGATACGAAGTATGGCATTTATTTGAAAATTATTCGCGTATTTTTCTCAACTTTAGATTTTATCGTAATAAACCAAGCTATGGGTGTAAAAGTAAGCTTTATTGCTTTCTCATCCTGTTAGCCTCATTTGAGTCCTTTTCTGGGAGATGTATTATATTTCAGGAGTAACAAGCACGCGAATCTACTAGCATTAAAGGTGACATTGAGGTGAGAGTTCTATGGGTAGTTTTCTCTCTAAAGATGTCCCTGAGGGCCTTGTTAAAAGGAAGAAACTGATGGATCTCCTCCAAAGAGATAACATGACACATCTATCAGTTGACTAGCCTACAGTGATTTAACTTCAAAGAAGGTACTTTTCTATTTGGGAAGAGAAAACTCTGGTGCGCCTCATTTTTTCTGGAAATAAAACATTTTCTAAGTTCTTAGAAAAATTATTAACACTTCTAACGCATCCCGTGCCAGCTTAACCATAAAACGTATTATCCACTTATGTTCCATAAATAAATGCTTTATGATAAATGACAAATTACTCTGTTGCAAGAGCAAAATTTACAAATACGTTAGAGAAGGTTGTATACAGTTCCATGAAAAAGGAAGCATTTCAACTGTTAGGTATATATTCTAACAAAAATCCTCTTTTTTTTTTTTTTTTTTTTTTTTTTTTGCTTTAAAATTTAATTTATGCAGATTAACGTCAGGAGAACTGTCGAACTTAAAGAAAATTACTTCAATATTTAGAACGACTACGACGAAACGTTCTCTGCTGTTGATAGCAGTATTAAAGGAGTTAGATTTTAGAACATTCCACACATGTTCCGTATATATTATTTAATTACATATAATAGATTTTTGCTGAGCTGAGCTAAATGTCTTCTACTTTTGAACAGTAGAGGACATCTAACTCAGCTCACCTAAGTAGTAAATATTTATTACTTAGCTGAGATGATGTACTGATAATCGAAATTATTGGCCATTCTCTGAAATCACAGTCCAGCTTAGCTTTTCTTTCATTTTATCTTCGAGATGTTGACTGAGAATTTGCAAACTCTGTGAGCTGTGAATCAATAATCTGTCTTCCTGACTTATTCTTTCGTCTCCCATCAGTTTTTTTTCTCATATATTCATCTGACAAATGACCTTTTGTACAAACTGAAATGCTCAGATGTCTCAGAATGCTATCTTACTGAAGGTAAATAAAAGAACAAAGAATTATAAAAATCTCTTTTTAGATGTTAATTTGTAGAGACATTAGGATATTTTTTTGAGGCAGAAGAGATGAAAATTAGCAACGCCTTCGCCGGGAATTGAACCACAGACCTCTGAAATACCGGCTCAGTGTGCTGACCACTACACCACGAAGGCTAGCCAAGAAGGTGGGAGAAATACCTTATATACTGCTGATGCATTTCAGAATACCGATTTATACTGTTGGCCATTTGTTATACCACGAAAAAAGCGCACAACAAACCACAAATTTGCAAAAAATGTAAAACAGGCTGCTGCATGCAAATGATTACCATTTCACGGCATGCGCACATTACGGGCAAGAGTAAACAGCCATCTCGAAGCAGTACGGAAAAGATAGATTGAAATGACAACTTTTCATTCTAAAATTACTTTTACTCGCTGATTTTAGGTTAAAGGTTGTGTTATGGACTGTATAAGAAGAAGGAACTCATACTACCACTCTCAGAATTAAATCGCGGGAGAATCGTTGCCTATTGCGACTGCGGATTGTAGTTGCATCGTAATTGTTGCTCGCATTCATCGAGATACAGTGACTATTACGAGAATTTGTTATACATAACCGGAAGGGCCAAGCATAAGGATGCACTGAATCTCCAGCCCCCTCCCCCATCTCGTTTACTAATACCCAAGGTGACAGACATTTGATTCGCATCGCTTTACTGTGGTTTACCCA